GGTATAGACAATTAATCTGCGAATTTATGTTGCCGTCAGTTAAACTAGCCTTTGCAATGAAACTAATGAAAAATATACGCCGGATATACCTTTTAGGCACACATTAGGTACCTGATCTCGGTATGCCCATCTTTAATTGCCCGCAATGCATGATTATCGTTCACCTGCAACATATACATTGAATGAAAATGCTCATTTCCTTCTGATTTTCCAGACGGGGAAAACGGAGTTTGATGCCATGCGGCGATATATCGATGAGTTAGCGGCATGACCGCTGGGTTTGCATATATCCCATCATCCACACCAAATCAACCGCGCGGGTATCGAAACATCTTTGTGGGTAAATGGGCGGAGTCACCCAGTGTACTGAACTATTTTGACTCAATATGTGTATATAATATATAGCTCTGATCTGGGTATAGATGCCTAGGGACTCAGAAGGAAGATGCACGGAAGGAGATACGATTGATAATAGAATACTGTGATAGTAATCATAGAAAGCAGAGAGCTATTCCCATTCGAAGCACTGTGTCCCGTGAACCCTATATACAAAATGAAATCGTACACATCTAGACCACCCCTAGGCAAACGCAACAAAAAGAAGAAAAGAAAAGAAAAGAGTGAGGGGGGTGAGAAGCGGAACATAAAAGAATAAACGATTAAATAAATGGCCGTAATGGCAATTAAGCCAACCCAAGCGAAGCCACCACAGTATATTTTAAGCTGTAATCAACAACCCCTGCATACCAGTATATACATACCGCCACGACCATCCTGCAAAATAACTTTTACACTCGCACGTCAACCCTAACCCTGAAGCCCAAAGCCCCAAAGCCCCTTCATACCTCTAACCCCGCTTCTTCTCCGCCTCCTTCGCCGCCATTTCAATAGCAGCATGTCTCTGTCTCCAGTTCTTATCCTCCTTATCCCGTATCTCCAACTCCTTCAACCACGCATCCCGCTTCTCCTGGTCCTGTTTCTGCTGCAGCGCCTTCTCGAACTCCTTGCGCTGCCTGCGTTCCTGCCCGTAGTAGATGCCGCCCGCAACAATGGCGAAGAGGGTAAATGCATGCCCGTATATACGCGCGCGGAACATGCGGTTCAGTTCGATGGAATCGCCAGCTTTCATGGATTTGTAGGCGCGCCAGAGGGCGTAGCTGGTTGCGGCGTAGCCTGTGATTGAAAATAGTTAATACGAGAGGGGCGGGGGTTAATGGGTAAGGAGAAGGACGTTGCTTTGTGTGTGTGTGTGTGTGTGTGTGTGTGTGTGTGTGAAGGAAGGGTCGGGTTGTTCCGAATATGTTCAAGGCCGGGGTAGATATACGGCTCGTTACCTATTGGGATAAGAGGTTCTTCTTTGATGCGACGTGTGAATTTCTGCCATTTTGTTTCCTGAAAGAATTCTCTGCGAAATTGTTGCGGGTTAGTTAAATTAATGGAGCTGGAGTTTCCCGGCACGCCGTAGCCGAAAAGGGGTTCTGTGTGGTCAACATACGGATGTGCGTCGAATGACGATGGGAGGGGTGTATTGCTCATATTGCGGGGTTGCGGCGATGCCAATTGGCACGGGGGAATGTGTTAAACTGGAGGGGTGTTGGCCGGAATTGGGTATTTCTCTCTTTTGTTCCTTTTTTTCCCCCGGCAAGGCCGGTGGGGACGGAGATGCTCTCAACGGCCCCCTTAACTGTCCTGTGTGAGTCTAACTCCAGGAGTCTATATTGGACTGAGGAGCGCGAGAGGCTCAGAGGATTGGTTGTGACTTTGTTAAAATCCGCATTAGATATCTAGTAGGTAGCCTCAGCCGTTGTGGAAACGGTGGAGAAATGCAAACTTCCGCGGATGACGTCGAAGCCGGATGCGCTAGTGTGGGTCTCATATCAAATTGGTGAATGCTCAAGAACTATGCCATCGATTGAAGGCAGGATAGGAACATGGCAAAGGAAGACATAACAGAAGAAAATGATGGAGCTTGAATATGTCAGTCCAGGCGAGATTGGTTTTAAAGAGCAACCATTTGTCTCTTTTCCTGCGAGTTATGAAAGTGGTGAGCAATCACATCAGTCTGATTCAACCACTCCTAAGCAACTAATCTTGAAATGGCAACACTATGGATGGGGTCCACCACTCCCCTATGAACGAGAAGATCGTGCGTTTGACATCCATGTTCTTGGATCAACTGCATATCGACGTGTGGAGGCCCAGTGAATCTGTGACACAGGGATTATTTATCCCGCGATGTCCAGGGAAATTCAATCCAAATCTATGTCAGCCTCACTTGAGAAAGCTTCTTGGGGGTGAACACCCACCAAGGATTCTATTCCCAGAGTAGATTCCAAACATGGAGATGATCAATCTTGGCAACTACACAGAAACATGGATGAGCAATCTTCTGGGTATCTGTGAGATTCGCAAAGCAGGTGTACAGTTTGGTGATATCGAGCCCAGGGACATGCTCATTGTCAAATATGACCCCAGTCCTGACCGAGTTGTATGAATTGATTCAATCGGGTGAATACTTATGATGAGCACCATATGACAGACAAACAGAAAAGTCTTTATAGCTGAAGTGGGAGTATCAATGGAGTACTTCAAGATTTATCTGATATGTCGTCTCACATCAATCACCCTCTTGTTATTCCTTCATATTCTTACCGTTCTTTGGCGTTCTACGATAAGGATGTTTGAAAGGGGAAACTCGACGAAACATACATTTTTCTATTGCACTTGACGGATTTCCTTTGATATCATTCCTGTACTTGATATCCCGGCTTGCATGGATGCAGACTTGATCAACCTCTAACGTTTCAAACTAGCATAGAATGATGGCTTGAATATCTCAAGCAATTAGAGCAGGATTACTAAACACCACTTGCTCAACTTCCCTTTTGCTCTCATCCCTCAAGAGATGTGAGAGGTTAGACCTGGGAAGCTTCTCTTCCTCTCTTGATTCCGCAGGGCAGAGGATACTACTGAAGCAAGCCACTTTCTTCCAGGTTAGAGCCATCCCTCTCAGGACAGGCGCGTCCTCAGAGCATTTGAGTCCCTGAGACATTTTCCCCCCAGAATCCCGAATGTCCCGGGGCAGGCCACAATTTCAGCACCAAGAATGGTCTTTCCTCAGGTTGTTCTTGATTTTTGGGGCATGAAGATTCTCTCAGGGTGTTTTCTGGACTGTGTCAAGCCTCATTTGGCCTACAGAAATCCTTATTTCTCAAATCGTCCTTTCACCCAGGGAGAGCCGCTTTTCTTCGCTCACAGCCATAAATTTTGCTATTTCCCAGGGCAACCTGTCGCCTCAGGGGATGACTGGGAAGCGTCAATTTGGGGGAAATAGTTAACTGACTACCACAAAAGCCCCGGGCCAAGGAAAAGTCTCGTTCGAATTCATCGGCCCATGCCAGAGATCTCTCGTCCCACCATTCTCGCTCTACTATCCTTGTCCTACTATTCTTATCCTAGCGTTTTCGTCTTGCAGTCAAACAATCCCATGGCGTGAAACTTCAATTTCCATTGGTCTTGAGAGAGCAGTGAGAACGCCCTTCACGGCTGGCCCACTGACACGTGCAAGATGGCTTGTGCCTGCCGGTTGGGGTCTGCAGAGAGGATTCGTCAGATAGGCGATTGCAAAGTGTGGCTGCAATGAGTCTTTGGAGCAAATTTACATTTTTCTAAGCCGCCCCAAAGTGGGCGAAGTCCAAAAGCTAGAAACACGAAAAGAAAGAAAGAAAGAGAGAAAGGTGGAATGTACTATAGGTTCCAAACATGCACCCAATTAGAATGACAATCATCCACACTGCACCAACTCTACACCCACGGACACCTTGATTTTGAGTCAAAGACCACAACTTTTGGTCGCTGTGGCTACGTTCCGAGGTGAGTGTGGCGCACAAAAAAACACTTGGTGGGAGAGAGAATAACACACTCTGCTGATGATAGAACACAGTGCCTCAGTTGAGAACACCCACATTGAACCAGAAAAGTGGGTGGTGCAGGAGTGAGCCCTGGCTCGCTCTGACTCACTGCAAAGTCATTTGGCCAAGCAAATCACTGCCAGTGCGCAACATGAATTCAACACTGTTAAATACCACATCACTTTCCTAGCCCGTCACTTGCTTCAACACACAGAGTGTGATTACAGAATGGCATCAGTAAAACAGTGTCTGAGCAATGATGAAGCATGATCACCGCGCGACACTCACAAGAAAACTTTCATTGGACATCAGTAAGTGAATTCAGTTGGATTTAAAAAAAAAATCTCGGACAGCAAAGCAAGCTGCCAACCAGGTTAATGACCATATTGCAGTGATGTATATCTGGCCAAGATGGCACTCCAAGGACTCGAGTTCAACCCCAGTGCCACAAATAAGGGAGCCATCATTGGTGATGAATATGCCAGCAACACAGGTGGCAGTGCCAAATCAACTGAAATGAAATGCTGGTGGGCGAGTTGCCGAAGTGTCAGCACAGCAAATGGATAACAAAAGGCCAGTGGTGGAGCCTTCCGCATCACTACAGGCATGTTGATGTCATATGGAGAACCCCATTGCAGAATTATCCAGCCATCTGCGGGATGTGGAGCTGAAAGCAATCCGGGGACTCTCTGAAGAAGCTGCCATGACTGAAGTCTTTCCATCCACCTCAGAACAAGATGATCAGGGGCAGGCCAGCAGTATTGCCATTTAACCAGAAACAGCCAATCACCCCCTCATCATTGTGTCTGCAGGATGGGAACAACAGCGGAAACCCACTCTTGGCGGAATCCACAAGATACAAAGGGCCAAGCCAACACAGCGAGATGTGAATCGAGCGGCCTACTGGGTGGATGCAATCAATGACAAGCTTGAAAGCAGATCAGACACTGAGCAGCCCGGGCTTGTAGATGATCCACCAACCACAGAGTCACCACCCATTGAGCCCATAGTGGCGGCTTCATTTGTGGAGCTGACACAGCCAGAAACAAGGGAGGAGGGTGCAGATATTCGATTTGACGTGACCACCGAGGATGTCAAACTCGACCAAAGCAACGGATGGACAGGTGGAGGCAGCCGAGTGGCCAGGGGACACCACGGCCCGTCACCCAATACAACTTCAGAAAATTGGCTGCAAGCTCGCTCACGGACCCTGATGGGGACAGTACCAAGGTCGCTGACAGGGAAGCTTGGGCGCGCACGATTCTGCTTCCGTCAAGCTCTAATACAGTTTACAAATTGATTAAGAAAGAAAAGAAGAAAAAGAAATTAGAAGAATATTGAAGATTGCATTATAATGAAGCACAGAGTGGAAGAACATTAGAGGTTACATGTGAGCAGGCGATAGGGGTTGGTTGCGTAAGCTAACTACTAACAAAGTGTCTTCTCTACTTTATTTTCAAGATATTATTCTTTAAATAATAGAGTATCATCTTATCAGCAGCAGCAGCAGATTGATCATTGAAGCTATTGAAGATTGTATCATGATGTTCAATAAGATATATAAAAAGATGATGACAACATTGCCACTGTCACACTCTTAAACCAAGCTTTTGAAACAGATAAATATATATCTTGATGACTTGTTAAATACATCAAAATCTCATTCTTGCAACGCATTTGAATAGTGCAATTTGATAATTACACAGATTTAACAAAATCCAATTAGTACTTGACAACTAGGCAAAAAAAAACTTTTTGTTCGTGCGCGGGGTGTTGCAATATCCGTCTCATGGATTCGCGCGACATGCTGGAAAATAATGGCGCTGCATGGATCATCGACAATGCTTGCAGCCTGCAGCCTGCAACCGGGATTAGCCGCATATTTCCCATATAGCCAAGCACTGTTGTTCCTCCCATGTCTTCGTAGCAAAGATCCAGCCCCGTCGCTTAATAGGGCAGTCCGATGATATCCAGGTCGGAGGCATAATCATCCATCCACCTGACTGAGAAGAATATTCCAACAATGTCGGCTCGCACTGTGTCAGACCGTTATCCTCGTTGTCTGCCATCGTGGTTGTCGGTCGTTAATCAGGAAAAGGAAGATAATTGTTTGCTTGTGGCCCGATGATGAGTCGTTCACTTCACTTAGGTATTGTGGCGGACGTAAAGCTTGCGAAAACAGAATTTTCTGCCACCCCCTGAAAAATAGTAGCAAAACACCGCAGAAATAACCAAAATATCCACGTATCTCTAGAATCATTCAAATATCATCCAATTCATTCAAATACGCACCTTTATCATCAAATCTGCACCTTTATCATCAAATCTGCCAATATGCCCCGCAACACCCACCGTTCTACTGCCTCGCAAGCTCGTAAAAGGACTCCAACTACCCTGCGCCTTCGTCTGTCCAAACCGCCTGTTCCGGATGTTCCGGATAATGACGAGAATCCAACTGATGATGAGAAGGAGGATAAGGAGGAGGAGGAGGAGGAGGAGGAGGAGGAGGAGACACAGTCAGAAGATCCTCGATTTCTGCGAACACCTACCCCTGAGCCTGAGATCTCATTCAGCTGTATGAACGGGTGATTATCAATGGGATAAAGGAGCCTATAAAGATCAAGTTACGGAATGTCACAACAAATGATATGACTGTCAGCTTCTATCGTATCCAATATCTCCCTCAACTCCTTCTTCATCTAATATTGTGTCTCCAAGTGAGATAATCAATGTGATGGTGATGAAATATATGATGGAAGGAATGGGAGGCATGGGAGGACTGAATTCAAACTTGTCATCGAATTCAAACTTGCCATCAAATTCAAACTTGCCATCGAATCCGAACCTGCCATCGAATCCGAACCTGCCATCGAATCCGAACCTGCCATTGAATCCGAACCTGCCATCGAATCCGAACCTGCCTCCTATTCGAAGTAGTCCAATCCCTCAGTTTGGTGAACACGCGGATCTGTTTATTGATGAGTTCTTCAACTGGTTGATGACAGAGAGACCTCGAAGAGCAGAAGCTCTTTTAACTGCAAAGAGCATTATTCAGAATGAAGGATTTGAACTGGATCATATACGGACAATGACAAATGAGCAGGTGGTTCAGTTGAATATTGGAATGGGTATATTCTCGATAATAAGAAATGGGTTAAAGAGTTCTATCTGGCAGTCACAGTTGAAGGAGATTAAATTGTCTTTATCTGCTGTTTGTAATGATGACAGCAGACTTCATACTGCTTCTGCTTCTGAATTTGAAACTTAGATATTATATATCATCATAATTGAATTGTAATCTGAATCTTTTTAAATTTTACAATACTATCCTATATGAGCCGATCTGAAATATCCTCTTGCATCTTCTTCTCCCATGAAATTCTCAACTGCATGATGCAAGAAGGCTTCAAAATCTCCATCAAACTGATTCTCTAACTGACATCTGTATCTTCTAATCCATTCTTTCAACGCGTGAAATGACTCCTCTATAGGATTATAATCAGGAGAATATGGAGGTAAGAATAAAAGTCCAATGCCAGCTTCTCTGCAGAGATCTCGCAGTGCTTGTGAACGATGAGAAGAGCAATTATCCATCACTAAGTAGTGATAACCTCGTTGGCATTTGGGCAGTATCCGGACACGTACAAACTCATTGAACCTCTCTGTATTATAGGACCCCTGATATATATCATAATCAAGATATCCATCGACACTTATTGCAGGTAAGATTGACCATCTGCGAGATCGTTTACAGGGCCTTCTAATGCGACAAGGGAATCCTCTGCTTGACCATCCATATCGTCGATCTGCAGTACGTTCATTCGCAGCACTCTCATCTAAAAAGATAAGTTGATCAGGTTGATACTGAGTAACTTGAATACGCCATTCAGCTCGAAGTTCTTCGTTGCGTTGACTGGCCACAGGTTCAACCTATATCAAATAGAACTGACAGATTAGCAGGTTCTATAAGTGACAATTGCAATAATTAATCACCTTCTTCCATGTCAAATTCAGTTTCTTCAACAATCTAGATATCGATCGAGGGTGGATATCAACATCAAATTCATCCTTCACAAAGCAGACAGCCTCATCGCGATATGCAGTTGGATATGCCTCAAAAAAGTCCTCCAAACCTGACAAGATATCCGGTGTGATCTTTGGCTTTACACCCCATGTTGAACGAGGACTTCTAGCAGTTCCAAAGCAGCGAATATTTCGTTGGATTCGATATACAGTGGCCAGACTGCACTCAATGGTCCGCGCAATCTGAGCAGGCATATAACCATCATTTAGAAGGCGTACGATCTCATTGGTGGTAAATTCGCTGAGCTGGGGGGGCATATTGGCAGATTTGATGATAAAGGTGCGTATTTGAATGGATTGGATGATATTTGAATGATTTTAGAGATACGTGGATATTTTGGTTATTTCTGCGGTGTTTTGCTACTATTTTTCAGGGGGTGGCAGAAAATTCTGTTTTCGCAAGCTTTACGTCCGCCACAATAAGCTCTGTCAACCCTAATTCTGGTTGCCAAAAAAAAATTAAGGTTCCAATCAACTCGTCAAAGGTCGCGTATCGCAAGTTCAAAGGACCACACTTGCTCAATTGCTGACTAGCGATAACAGACGTGTCTCCCATGTTGTATAACATGGCAGAAACACCTTTGACAAATGGCAGTGGCTCGCCACGCACGCCCAGACTGAGCTCTCTTGCGATGACTGAATACTCCGCATATCCTTCCCCGCCTAATGAGAGGCAGGGCCTGCCTCCGGACTGGGAAATCCCAGAGGCTTTCCTACTTCCAAATGGATATCCAGACGTAAGCTCCACGTCCCCAGTGTATTGGATGAACTATCCCTCTTTAACATTTATTGTCTACCTCTAGTACTTGCGGTTGATTCTTACCTCCCGCGTCTACGATGTTGTCAAAGAAACACCTCTAACTCACGCTGTAAACATGAGCAACCGTTTGGAGTGCAAAGTATTTTTGAAAAGGGAGGATCTACTTCCCGTCTTTAGTTTTAAGCTTCGAGGCGCCTACAACAAGATGGCCCATTTGAGCCCGGAAAGAATGTGGAAGGGTGTTATCGCATGCTCTGCAGGTAGGTCTGCGTCGCACAGCCCCCGTTTTCGTGTGCTGTTTCCATGTCTTCCCTACTCACTTTGACGACCTAGGAAACCATGCCCAGGGTGTTGCGTACTCTGCACGGACATTGAAAATCCCCGCTACCATCGTGATGCCCTCAGGTACCCCTGCCATCAAGCACCGAAATGTCGCAAGATTAGGTGGGACAGTTGTACTGCATGGTCGTGATTTCGATGCAGCAAAGCAGGAAGCTGCCAGACTTTCCAAACTACATGATCTTACGAACATCCCCCCTTTTGATGACCCGTATGTGATTGCTGGGCAAGGCACCTGCGGAATGGAGCTGCTGCGACAATCCAACATACAGAATCTCGAAGCTGTGTTTTGCTGTGTAGGTGGAGGAGGCTTAATCGCTGGTATCGGAGTTTACATCAAGCGAATTGCACCACATGTCAAACTCATTGGGGTAGAAACGCACGATGCGAACGCAATGGCAGAGTCTCTAGCGAACGGTGAGAGGGTTACTTTGAATGAAGTCGGATTATTTGCAGACGGCGCGGCCGTGCGGGCCGTTGGCGAAGAAACCTTTCGGTTATGCAGAGAGGTGGTAGATGATATCATTCAGGTTTCGACCGATGAGGCATGCGCAGCCATCAAAGACATCTTTGAAGACACGAGGTCAGTGGTGGAGCCGGCTGGCGCTCTCTCACTTGCCGGTCTGAAGAAATACGTCGCGATGAATCCATCGCCGAATCCGAACCGAGAGCTTGTGGCCGTGACATCTGGAGCGAATATGAACTTCGACAGATTACGTTTTGTAGCTGAACGTGCTACGTTAGGTGAGCGGAAGGAGGCGCTGCTGAGTGTCACCATTCCCGAGCGCCCAGGCTCATTCGCGAAGCTGCTCGAGATCTTGACTCCGCATGATGTCACGGAGTTCAGCTATCGCTTCTCTGGCAGTGAATATGCTGTGGTGCTCATGGGCATATCATTGGCCACTTCGACCGGGACAGAAGATTTGAGCGTTATAGTAAATCAGTTACTAAAGAATGGGATGAGAGCGTATGATCTAAGTGACGATGAGCTCGCAAAGACACATATCCGGTATCTTGCTGGTGGACGGAATAACGTCGAGGATGAAAGACTCTTCATGTTTGAATTCCCCGAACGCCCTGGAGCCTTGGCAAAATTCCTCACAACTCTCAGACCCCATCAAAATATCTCATTATTCCACTATCGCAATTATGGAAGTGATGTGGCCAAGGTCCTTGCTGGGATTCAGTGCCCAGTCACAGAGAAGGCTGAGCTCGAGGGTTTCTTGCACGATTTAGGATACCCAGTCACTGAGTGCACAGATTCGCCCGTTTACGAGATGTTTCTACGAGAGTGATGGATCATTTGTAAGTGTTTCGTCTGTCTTTGATAGCCATTCTTAAGTCTTTTTGCAGCTTTAGTTCTTGACCTGCAGCTCCCGGATTTCTCTTTGTTATTCTTTGCTTGCAACGCTTTTTACTGTATGCTGTCGTTTTGCTCTATTTCCATACAAAAGGGTGTAAAGGCGTTCGAAGATTTGCGACTTTGTGGAATTCCGATGCCTTACGTATTCAGCGTCATCTTACCGAGGCATTGTAGATAAATAGAGTCAATGGTTCATGTACATACGGGGAATTAACTAAACTTTTTAAAGATTTACCTTCCTGTTATTCAAAAGCAAATACACATTTCGCGTACGACTTTCGGCTCCCTGGCCGTTGCGGTTTGGCGCAGGTCTCCACGTCGAACTAGGCTGCTCGGTTCGTGGTCAGAAAGTGGACGCCTTCAAGTGCTCTATTCATGTATCTGCCTCATTCATCCGAAGAACTGCATTGAAATGTTTGGCAATCTTGAAGCTCTCCTCTAGTGACTGATCTAAGTGATGGGATTCGTTCTAATGAATAATAAGCTCTCTCACTGAGAGCCAAACTGCCAGAGTAGAATACAGCTGAAATCAATGAGGGACACAATATGAAATAGAGAGACAGACTAAGTTTTCCTGATAAGGTCTCTGTAGTGAATGTCTTATCAATCTCTGAGGAGCTATTGATTGAGTTCAGACATGTTAAAGATAATTAATTAATAGTAATCTAATGTAAGAGTACATTAAGTCTGTAGCTCTTCTCTTTGGTTATATGATCAAATGATACTGCTGGGATAAGACTCAGGTGCGTTGTTGCAAATGACAGAAGGGTTTGTTTGATATTTCCTGGGATTTTAAGTGTCAAAAGACTTTGAATACCACCTTGCATAGATTTGTGAGATAAGATACTGCAAATTCCACTTTACAGCATGAGTAACAAGACAAAGACTGTCCTCTCATCAATGGCAAAAGCTCGCCTGGGTTTGGTACCAGATGTATCATTGATGGAAAAGGCCGTGGCAACCAGCCGTCGAAGTGCGATGCTCAGCAGCCACCGCCGACTTCTGAGGCTCAAAGTGACGACGCCGATGCTGACAGATTTCTAAACAAATTTGCTGTTCTTACCGTGGAGGAACCCCAGGATACTGCTGCACAAACTCAATCGACTCCCGCAGAATCGAAGAAGATCGTTAATGTGACGGTTGCTGAAGAGGACGACAATGAGGCAGTAGACTCATATTTTGGTCCATTGTTCTTCAAGACCTTCTGCTTACTTCAGGACTTGAACAATATGCGAACATTCATTTCCATGACCTGGTCGGAGTATCGAGATAAGAAAATCGATCTTATGAATGCCGCTGTCGTGACTGACAGTGCTTTGCAACTTGCCCGAGATCTTGTGCAAGAGGTGGAGGCTGACTGGCGCACTTCCCTTACGGGAAGACGGGATAATATTCAGAATATTGCTTATAACATCGCTGTTTTGACCCGCGGAATTTCCTCGACTCCATCCACTGAGATTGGCTTACCATACAACAAGAACATGGCTGATGTAGCCGACTGGTGCTATGTGCCAACTAAGGTCCTGCTTGAGTCCTTCGCAAATGTTCTCCATGCCGATTATCAGCCAGTCTTCAAAAAAGGCTACTTCGGCACCTACAATCCGAAAGCGGACAGAGAGCGACTATCTCTAGGTCAGAAATTCAACGAAGACAAAATCATCCTTCTTTCGATTTTGCCAGAGTTTTGCCTATTCGATACATTCAAAATCCGGATGCCTACTGAGGACGCGATAACTCGAGGCCTTACCGAGTTCTCTAAGACCAAAAAGGTTACGCTGTGGATTTGCTTCGCCTCCCAGATCTTCCTCGATGTTCATCATATCGGGAATTTACAGTATACACACATATGGTACGGGTCATACGGAACTATTCCCAATAAATTTTAGCGGGGGTGTAGTTAGTAATTCGCGGGTGTGTGTATAAATTCCCCTTGAGCGCATTCGAAGACCTCCGAATGTCTGGACTTCGCATCCAGAAGACTATTGATGACTACTTGCAATTGTCAAAAACACATCCTCAGCCCAAATTTTGGCCAAAAGTGCGGGATGAGGAGATTGAAAATATAGGGTTAACTGTGAAGTCATGGATCATACGAGATCTGTTCCAAGATCTTCGAGCTCGGTCTGAACTCGACAGAGTTGGCTCCCCACCCGAAAAACATGCGCTCTTCTCGCAGCACTCCATCCTGTGCGGCCTGATCCTGTTCAACCTCAATAGTCGAATGCAGTTTATTGGCCAGCAGCTCGTCACCCAATGGTACGACGTCCAACAACTGGCCTTCTTGCACAATCTCGTCATAAATTCTCCGACGCACAAAGATCTAAAATGGCCTGACATGGATGCTTTTATCAAGATCCATGGCGAGTCTCATATTTTCATCGGTTCGCGACCAAAGAACGCCAGTGAATCACTAAACAGGCTAGAGTTGGCTTCAGGCATCTCATCTACTACCAATTTTGCCCGCGATTCCCGGAACAAAAGATTCCATAAGCCTAACGGCAAGAATCCCCGCGTTCTCAAGCCCACCACTTACGTCGCAAACTTATTTTTCGCCCAGTACGCCGGTAATCCCGATGAAAATGCTGGGATTTTAAACGTTGACAGGATCTTGGATGAGCTTTCGCAGATATCGAAGCTTGAGTCATCCAGCAAGGAGCTCCAGAGAGCCAACCCTGAACTCATCATTGCCCGAAAGTGGTCTAATACCCACAACATCGACACGCTGCAGCTTCTCGCCTTCCTCAAGAGTAAGCTATTCGAAGAGGAGCCTATCTTGATGTACAACTACTTCGGCATGCACAAACGCTCCGTCGAGTTACTCAGACTGATACGAGACAAGGAGCACCACAAATTTGTTCAATATTTCACGTCGGCGTACATGCCTGATGAGTCTTTCATCTCAAACATCGTCATTCTCATCCACCACGTTGCTCAAGGCTCGGCCCAAAGTGCACGTGCAATGGGACTTACATCTGGCAATATTGGGTTAGGGAGTCGGATTGTCACGAGCGCTGGTGACGTGATGCGGGAATACTTGAAGAAGAACGGAGATGTGGCATGTAAAGAGCTGAGAGTGTTCTGCAAGAACAAAAAGCCAATCCAAGATGATGTTGCTTATGATAAGGGCAAGTCGGACGAGCTGGTATATTCTTGGCTCAATCTTGAGGATATTCTAGGCCCCAAGGGTATGGCCTCGATCATGACTGGGATCCTTATAGCTTAGGCTTATAAACCGGGTGCTGCTTTGATGCCGACAACGGCCCAGACGTACACAAACTCTGCTTCATTTTCTACTAGTGATGGTCCATACAACCATCTTATGACATCTCAAAAATTTACACGTTCAAGTTCAATAATTATCGCCCCCACCCCGAATTTATCCAAGATTTAATCTTCTGGGGTGTGTTCATCATATTGTGATTAAAAGTGGGTAGAAGGTGACTCCACAGCCCAGGCAGGATCCGTGGCAAATATTATGTGTTTAGAACGTGTCTCGTTTTCTCACCATCTCTCTCCCTTTCCTTCTCCATGTTTAGTTGCTTCGTTGAATACTGATATTGTCTCTTCGTACCTGAGTTGTAACAGGATCTTTCAGTCTATCTTGGAACGTATAACTGAAAGCTTCCTTATATTTCATACAACAATGTCTTGGAAGAAGACGGTTACTGCAGTCGTTGCATGGGCTAAATCAGCTGTATTATTTCTTCTCTAAAATTCGGGTAAAAGGATTTCGGGTAGAGGTAGGCAACGGGTTTCTAAAGGTTTGTTATCAAAATTGATTGGATATTGTTATCTCTTACAAAGACGTGGATTCGTGCTCCCTAGACGAAATCGCACTTCGCAATGTCCTGGTTGTCGAAGATCAACTCAAGCTTGCAGACTTCGGTCAGTCAGTCCATCTTGCACATCGATCGCGGCTGATGTGGACACCATATGCAAAAATGATTTGGCTACAATGATTGAAATTCTCCACCTTGGATGGACTCTCTACTCAGTCGCTGTCTGGCAGGTTCACAAGTAAAGTTATTTCTTTGATACGAAGGATTCGAATTGGCCGAAAGCGCAAGTGCCCACTCTAATCCGCCTCTAATATAATATATTCTAATCTAACCAACAAGAAATACTATCCTCTCTGGAATAGGCAAAGTACCTCATACGCTGCCTGATACAATTGCCGATACCCTCTAGCATACAAATGCAGTAGTTAATTTGAATCGCTAGTGTGTCCCAACTCTCCAGGGCAGCCTCACCCTCCTCCATCTGGATCCTCGGTTTTGCTGCTGATAAAGTTGATTTTGCAATTAATTGTCCATCGTTTCCCACATCTCAAACACGTAAATTCTTTATATAAATCACAAAAAAACTTGTAGGAAAGCTAGGGGATGTCGGATGAGAATGGAGATCTCAAGATGGTGTGTGTCCTGTAGGCTGTAAAGTATCAACTTACTCTCTCAGATTTTGTTGGAGACAATAAATACGTCTCTCTAACCTAGCGGCGGAGTGTAAAGGGCTGCCGGATTCCATCTTCAATATTATGGGAACAATTTCAAATTTTGTGGTGGTGGAAAACCTTGCGGAAAAATGAAACCCCGGATAATCTCCCAACCATTTCTCGAAATCTGATGCCTGAGCACTTCAACGAGAAACACAGAGTATTTAAAACCTCCGTTTCTCACATCCCCAAACAAACGCACCTCACCCGAACGAAGCTAGAAGCCGCCCTCGACTCGACCCAATTTCGCAAGCACAATCAACCCAAGAGGACCAGCCGGAAATTGTCGGACGGGGAATCGTTCAACACACTCCAGTACATGTATACAAATCAATAAAATAATGACTCGATTCCGCTCCCTCCTCTCCTTAACCTATTCCTCATTCTCCCATCTTTCCTCCTTCCGAAAGGCCCCATCCACATTTCCCCGCCAAATATGCCGCGCTCTATTTTACCGCTCCCTCAGGTCCATATCTGGTAGTAGTCGACTCTCGCCAACATTTGACCAGATGCCATGGAGCCGTGCTGGGCTTCTTGCCAAACCCGCAGGCGCTGTGTCGAGGAACGCGGTAAAGGGTGTTGATCTGGTCGGTAGCATTGCGAATGGCCTAGGGGCGCTTTTTGGAGGGCAGTTTCGGGGCATGAAGACGAGATCGTCTGTGAAAAGGTTGTGTGACGGGTGTAAGCCGGTGAGGAGAAAGAATCGGGTTTATATCATTTGGTAGGTTTATTTTTTCTTACTTTCTTTGATGTCGATACGGCTTCGTTTTGGTGAAGCATATCTAGAGACTAATTGTTGCACCGCAGTTCTAAGAATCCTAAGCATAAACAACGGCAGGGGAAATAATCGTCTATGTGAGGTATTTCCTGCCGCGAAGATTCAATGGCTTGTTGAGGCCGAGTATTCGAGTCGATTACGGGTCTCTTGGTTGTGGGAGGGAGGCTCTTTTCCATTAACCCGCTGGCTACAAGATTTTACCCCCTGTTTTTCTCATTGACTTTTCATTTAGCCGTTTGGGACCGGAAAATTATATTAGACCTGGCTGCCCCGTGGAGTTTTTTATTGAATTTTTTTTTTTTTTTTTTTTTTTTTCATGTATTATCAAAGTTTCTTCGGAATATATGTATTTCAATATACCTCCCAAAACACCCTTTGCCAGACATGCTCTTACTCCATTTGCCTCCCTATCATATCTGTCGTCTTGAGAACAGGTGCTTTTTAAGAGCCTCAGCTAGCATCCGTCTACAGGCTGTGGGAATCAAGCTTGTTTCGAAGCTTCTCTAGTTTCATATGAACTTGAATACGAATACTTTATCCTGATGGCTTGGACAATGAATGACATTCCTCCTGCATATCTCCTCTTTTATACTGAATCTTCTTCTCATATCTTTCAAAGATTGTATGGTATATCAATTTTAAGACCCTTTTTATTTTATTTATGGTAATCAGATATCATTACCCGAGGATTGGATTGTCGGGAGAGGTAACTCGTTGGCTACTGTCGCAAGAGGGTTCCCTAGGTAGTTAACTAACTAACTAACTAGTTAACTAACTAGTTAACTAATACTTAGTCAGCACAAGTTTAAAACTCCGGCCAAAAAAAAGTTTCTGGACGCTTGGTGGTGTCTCCCAACCCGACTGTCAAGGCCATTGTCAAAATGAGGGCTCATTCTCTTTTTAGGGCTCAAGTCCGCTCTCTTACTAGGCCTTCTGGAGTTTCAACTAAACTCCAATGCGGCGTCTATCGACGATTCATTACCACTGCTCCTCTCCGAAGCTTCGCTACTATTCCCCGTAGCGCCCCGGTGATAGGACGATGGCAGCAGGTCCGATATTCCTCTGCCGCGGCTTCTGTGTAAGATAAATCTCATTCTAGCAGCTTATCCGGAACGCAAAAGAGAAATGTGCATGAGTTTGAAAATTTAATGCTTTGGTGTTGCTCTAGGTTGGAACATGCTGCAGCGGACCCAACTACACTCACTCAATCTGCGATCATTGAAAATATGGATGAAGCAGAAATGAATCGGTTATCTAAAGTCAGAAACATTGGAATTGCGGTACGGGACTTTCCGCGAACCATTTTGCTGTACGCCTTCCGCTTTACGAATAAGGTTCTGATTTTTATTTGTCCATCTAGGCACATATCGACAGTGGTAAAACCACTTCGACAGAGCGAATCCTTTACTATACCGGCCGTATCGCAGCTATCCACGAAGTCCGCGGACGGGATTCCGTTGGTGCTAAGATGGACTCCATGGACCTGGAGCGTGAGAAAGGTATCACGATTCAATCAGCGGCTACCTTTTGCGACTGGGTCAAGCGAGAAAATGGAAAAGAAGAAAAATACCACATCAATTTAATTGATACGCCTGGACACATCGATTTCACCATCGAAGTTGAGAGAGCCCTGCGTGTTCTGGATGGCGCAGTCTTGATTGCCTGTGCCGTGTCCGGTGTTCAATCACAGACTATGACCGTCGACCGACAGATGAGACGCTACAATGTTCCGCGAATTTCTTTCATCAATAAGATGGACAGAATGGGTGCAAATCCTTTCAAGGCCATTGAGCAAATTAACCAGAAGCTGAAGATTGCGGCTGCCGCTGTTCAAGTACCAATTGGCGCTGAGGATGAATTTGAGGGCGTTGTGGATTTGATTCGGATGAAGGCTATCTACAATGAGGGTTCCAAAGGTGAAATTGTAGTGGAAAGGGATGAAATTCCAGAGAAAGTCAAGGCCATCGCAGAAGAGCGGAGGAGAATGCTTATCGAAACGCTCGCCGATGTGGATGATGAAATTGCTGAGCTTTTCCTCGAGGAGAAAGAACCCACTCAAGAGCAGATCAAGACTGCAATTCGACGTTCCACAATCGCCCTGAAATTTACACCTGTCTTTATGGGATCCGCTCTCGCGGATAAGTCAATACAGCCCATGCTGGATGGCGTTTGTGATTACCTCCCGAATCCTTCTGAAGTTGAGAATCTCGCACTCGACCAAAAGAGAGAGCGAGAGCCCCTGTCAAACTCGTGTCTTATAACTCTCTTCCGTCGTGG